TGAATGTTACCAGTCCTCCAAAAGCTCGTGAATGGATTTACTGGTCCCTGTGTCAAAATGTTTGGGATACTGCCCTAGAGTGTCAGGGGGCCAGGCAGCACAGCTTCAGCACTCCAGGCCCAGGAGCCCCAGGCAGTGCAGCCCCAGTCTTCCCAGCCCCTGAGCATCATGCAGTATTAGGGTTGCCAGGTGTCCGGTATTGACCTGGACACGGGTGGCCCGTGAGCAAGGCAGTTGCTTAGAGTGCTGCTGGCCCAGGCGCCTGATGATGACATCATGGCCATTGACATCCGTGCGGGGGGGCGCCAATTGCGCCGCCTGCCTGGGGCGCCAGCAGCTGCAGCCGGCCTCGGGGCACTCCTGCCTGAGTCCGGTAAAAACATTCAGAAAATACCAGACATCTAAAATGTCCGGTATTTTCTGATTTTTTTTCCCTGCCATGAGGCAAAAATACCAGATACCTGGCAACCCTACGACACACTCAGCAACTGGGCCCAACCCCAGACCTAGACGCCCCTGCTTACCTGGTTCTGCAGGGAAGCTGCCTTCTGGCTCTGATAAAAAAAACAAGATGGCTGTCGGCAAAAAGCCTAAACACTGTTCTTAAAGGGGCTGGTTTAATGCTTTTTTAAATTTTTTGCTCAACAACTTTGGTCTCCCTCCTTTTTTTCCCCATTTTTGGGGGGTGGAGGGTATTCGGTATTTTTGGTGAAACCATCTGGTAACCTTAGGCAGCATGGCCCCAGCTTTCCAGCCCTGGAGCACAGGGAGGCCAAGCAGTGTGTCCTCAGCCCTCCAGGTCCTAGAGCATTGGGTTGCTGGGCAGCACGGCCCCAGCCCGAGAGTGCAGGGGAGGGAGTGCACAGGGAGCATGGAGCCAGCCTCTTGCAGAGCTAGAAGCACAGTGGTGACTGGAGGTTGAGTGTGGGCAGACCACACTAGGCTCTGCTCTGATACTCATTGCTCATTGTCTGATCCAAAAAACTGATCAGTGCTAATGGGAGCCTTTCCAGTCAGTTCACCGGGCTTTCAATGAAGCCTTGCAATGGAAACTCCCTTTGAAAGCTGCTACTGAGATGCAGATGCACACATAATATGGAGACATGCATAGCAGTAGTGAAAGGTACTTCTTTGGGGGGTTTTTGAGGCAGTCTTTTGCAAGGGAACAGAGGAATCAGCTGTAAATAGATGTTTAATTGAATGGCATTGTATTTTATTTAGCACTCTCTATAAATTTGCTTTCCAGTAACTACAAAGAAGGGTGAGAAAGAGGAACTGTACAGAATACTTTTTCCTCACTTAAACATTATTTGTTGTTTTATTTAAGTAATTGATTGTATGTATGTGATTATCAATGTGTGAAAGTAGTGTTGGACGGTAATCAAGAAAGTGGTGTATTAGGCAACTTGAAATATTGATTTTGCTAAGAGATGGCCACACTTCTTGAATTATTCATAAAGCCTACCACATAATAAATTTAAGTATTGAAACATTTGCCTGTCTTTTTTTTTTAAGAGGAAAAAGATTCATAGCAGCCTTTTGTGATACTGCATAAAATCATAAGGAGAGTAGACCATAAAGTTAGGGTATGTAATTATAACCTTTGCAGTTCCACAATCCTCAGTTAATGATATACGATCATGAAGTAGTTTCAGAATTAAAAGTGGTTTGGCTGCTGGCCTGCAGATATTTCAGTATGCACCTGTGTTCTGTACAGCTTGAATATATGCACCAAACCACCCTCAATATCTGTAGGCTGAATTTATTTCCTATCATATGCTCTGACTTTATTCTCTCCTGGGGGTTCCCGACCTCTGCTTTTCCCCAGGCCTTGCTCCCATCTCCAGGCCCTGTTCCCATGCCATCCCTTCTTCTAAGACCCCACCCCGACCATATATTTTTGCCCCCACCACACCCTTTGTCATCCCCTCTCACCCCTTTCCACCGTGTTCTGCCCCACCCCAAGCACACCCTGCCCTCACTCCTCCTCTTACCCCCAGTGTCTCCTGCATGCCGCTTAACAGATGACCTGTGGTGAGTGGGAGATGCTGTGAGGGAGGGGAAGGAGGTTCTGAGGAGAAGGGGAAGGAGCTGATAGGGTGACTTTTTGGTGTGCATTGAGCACCCACCATTTCCCCCCATGAGTCTTCCAGCCTTGGAGCATCCACATAATCAGTGTCTATGTTTCCTACCTTAATAGTATTTGTAACAACAGACATAGAGTATCTTTCATCTCACTGGTCCCTGAACCACTTCCCAAACTTTACAAAGACAAATAGCTTTGCACTTACGTTTGAAATGCAGCCAGCCATCTTTTGCAGGGTTTCACAATATGGGTGCATATTTAGCCTATATTGAAATGGGTTCTCTGGCATAAAGTGCACTATGGTGGAGTTCATATGAAGTATGTGAAACAGTTCCAACCTTTTCTTCTTGTTTATAATAATGCAGCATTACCATGCACAAGCTGGCTGGGGAGTAGAGAGTCTAGAGCAGCCAGGGCTAACCCCAGTCAGCACATTCCTTCAGCTGACTCCACTAATAGTGCTTCTGTGGAGTCACAAGTGGGAATTAAAGCTGTCCTCCAAAGGGAATTCCCCCTCATGCAGACAGATTCCACTGAAATGGGCTTTTAGCCAATGTCAGTGAATCAGGCTCACAGTCTGTCTGTGACAGGTACACGTTAGATGGCAAAGTCTATTGAGCATAATAAGTAAATGTTGCTACAAACATTACGAGCAAAATTCAGATATGAATCTGAAGGCGTTTCAAAGCTGCTGCAATTTGCACCATCTTCCAAGCTCTCTTATTGTGGAAGTTATACCAGCACAAGCCAACTTAGACACAGGAGGAGGGGGGCCAGATGGTGATGTGTTACAGCAGCTGATAGCTCCCGATTTCACTCACCTTTCAATTTGACCTTCAGAGTTAAACAGTGGATTATAAATAAAAGGGTAACAATTTGTGTGATAATGCCTGCCTTCAGAAAAAGGTGAACAGGGCACTTCGAAACATATGGTTATATACCAAAAAGGGTGATCTTACTCTTACAAAATATCAGACTGTAAGATCTGTCTTATAAATATCTAGAGCACTTAAACTCTCATCCTCTGGAACTTATTTATAGTGACTGTAGAATCCATGGTTTTTGTGTTCTTTTCCTTAGTGAACACCAGGCAATTTTTTTCAAACTTGGGTGACTAAAGTTAAGTCTTTAAATCCCTTGAGGTACCTCAATAGAAGTAATAAGATTTTAAATATATTTGGAAAGTTGTAGCTTCCACTGTTGTTCAAGTGCTCATCCCTTTTAAAAACGAAGATATAGATGGCTTTAGTAGCCTTACTTTAGGCACCCAGTTTTAAACATTCTAACCCCTCTTCTTAAGCTTTTCATGAAGGTGCTTTTGCATTAGCAAAAATTCATTTTCTGACATTTTCACTCTCAGCAAGCTACCAGCCACATGGAGCTCTGTAGAATATAGAAAAGCCCACCAGGGTAATGGAGGCTTGGGAGAAGAAGCTAAAAGTGTCAGCACATTAAAGCAATCACATTCATGGAGGAGAGGCGGATGCTTCATTATCTATGGAGGGAAATTCATATTTTAATCTTTTCTTTTTTACAGATATTTTTGCCACCCAAAAAGATAACTTGCATCATATATTCATAACTTTATAATTCCCTGAAAATCAATGTAATATTTCACAAAATTGCTCACTATTTGAACCTTTGGCATGCCCAGGCCTGTTCCATCTACACAGCCAAATGTATCCCAGGCAGTGACACAACTGCTAAATGTACACATATGATAAAAGGTGCCTCTTGACAGAAGATTAGCTCTCAAGTAAAGATGCTTCTTGGAATTTGATGGAGACCGACAATCTTGCCCGGCCATAGATGGCTTTAGGACTTACTGAAGCTGGCAGATCACTTGAGCAGGTTATTTAATCCTAGCTAGTCCATATGGTAATGGGAGTAAATAACATTGTATAGACATGCTGGGCAGGTGTACAACCAAAATGTTAAAACTGATATCTGCGCTGGATTTTCAAGGCTAAGGTTAGGAGGACATTGTATATTATTGCTACTCAGACTTAAAGTTGGACTAAAGGAAAAAATGAGACACTGGCTTCTGAGGGAGCAAAAGGTGAGGTCTAATGAATTCAAGTTTTAAGGGATGTGAGTGTATTGTTACAATGAAGACTACTATCTGTATATCTCTGATTTTTCTTTAAAATCCATTCCAGCTGTAGCAAAGCATAGAATTTTATTAGGCTCTGTGGAAAAGCCATCATCACCTAATAAAAATAGTTCCGTAGTACAGTCCAATTTCTCCCAAACAGATGAAGGGATGAGGGCTGTGCTTCCACACAGTGCCCCAGCATTGCATGGATCTCTATCTTTTTGATTGATTCCAATCTTTTCCAATAGACATACAGAGCTAAATCATGCTATAACTAGTGCATATATACCTTTGCTGGATAGTGGCTGGAGTTTCATGGTTCTAAGAGAACCTTAGTCTTCCTTAAAGAAAAGTAATGTAGGTTTTAGTTCAAAAAAAGAGATGGGAAGAAAATAGTTTGCAGTCATTTCCCCAGGGTACAATTCTGATAACCCCTTTTCTGCTAACACTTATTCAGCCTTTTGGGGTCAATTCAGCTGTGCAAGTAGCAACTAGTGCTGGCTCATTTGGCAATAGACTAAATGTAATAGCACTTTTGTGAGACCAAGTGTTTCCAACTAAAGAATGGATTCCTATAGTGAATTACTATCTCTGTAAAGATGGACAATTACATAAATGGAATGAAATTAGGGAAAAACACAACTGAATTATAGATTATCAAACTCTATCAGATTGCTATGTTTTTTCATTTAATTAAAATTTCTCTTTACAGAACTCTGGCAGCATAGGCTGCTGAGTACACACGTGTTATGTTGCAATCAACTATTTTAACAGCATTTAGTTTCACAACAGTTTCATTTTGGCATAAAAAGAGGAAGAAGGTGTGCAATATGGTGTGGCTCTAATAAAGAAGTTATAAAACCTCCAAATCTCCCTGGGACTTCCCTTTGATTCTTCTGAGTAATGGAGAAAAACAAAATACATGTCTTCTTTGCAGTGTGAAAAGACCTACATACAAGTAAGTTTTTAAACTGTCTGTTTTAAACTTGCTTTTGTGTATCTTCTGTCTCAGGGAAGCAACTAAACTCTTGAAAGTAAGAACTATGCACTGTATAATTCTCTGTAAATACTTTTCTTGAGTTTCCACTTGGCTTGTTAGTGTCTGATTGGCAATCACATTGGTATAATTTGATAATCTTTGTCTTATTGGCATGTAGGCATTGTAGGTTTTCAAGGATTTCACATAGTCTCTGAATTTCCACATGCAATTTCTGGTGCTTTCAGAAATGGTAAGAATATTACAAACTCCAGTCTAGTTTATTGGCCTCTAGAACCATGAGTCACAGTAATTCATTTTTGATGTGGTTTAAGGACATCAAAAAATAGTCACGCATATCCTCCTTAGGCTCTTGGTATGTGACTATGGCTCTAGGCACTAGCATAATACAAGTAATAAAATAATAATAATCTACATTACTTAATATTTTTAAAGCAAGTGTAATTGAATGTGCTGCTTTTATGTCGATTGTACCATTTATCATTGAAGTATGTGCATGAGTTAGGAAGTTGTCCAAGTGATAGTTTAGAGGTAGAGTACCACATACGTAGATTGTTTCTCCCTAGTAAAATTGGATATTGTGTTTTTGTGTCAAAAGATTTACAATTCTTTTTTGAGCAAGCCTACACACACACACACACACACACACACACACACACACACACACAATTCTTGCCATAAAATGGCAATCATTTCAATAGCAATGTACTGTTGCTTTTTCTCTGTCCCCTGCTTTTAGCAAATGTAACACTTCCAATGGCAAGAGCACATGAATCCATTTCTCCCTGCTTCACTTACTTCAGATGCAAAATATTAATGATTTGACACAACATGGCTATATCTTTAAAATGCACATACAAAATCTGAAAAGTTAAGATGGACTAATCAGGTATTTCAATTTACTTATAAGAGAGACGCTTAGAAGTGTAGAAACAAAGATTGTATCACTTGAAATTGTCTAACTGCTCTTATAAATACCATGCCTGATACTCCACCACCTTGCATTTTACGTAGACACTTACAGCTGTGCACAGTCGGGGTAAATTGCTACCAGATCAACAGAGTAGTGTCTTACAACCATATTTCACAGGTGGTGTAAATTACTATGTGAACTGTCAGGCAGTGATGCATCATCCTTACTGTGTACAGTTCAAGTCCCCACAACCTAGAAAACACACAGAAAATTTCGCTCCTATGGGACAGTTGAAAGTTATGCCATTATGGAGGTGTTCTGAACCTTCCACTGAAGTATCTGGTACTGGTTACTGTTAGGGACAGGATATTGGGCTAGAGACAGCACCTGCCCAATCCAGAATGGCAAATCTTATGTTCCTGTGTACCTACTTTGGGCATGCAAAAGATGTTTTTATAATTTAGGGAGCTAGTTTGGAAGATTTGGCCCATGTACTTATAGTCTAGACAAAGAAAAGAGGCAGAGTGATCACAATAGACAAATGCCCTCAAGAAGTTATACAAAAAGGAGGGAAATAATGCTTAGTTTCAGATGGCAATAGGAAAACGAGATCTTGTCTGAAGCTAATGAAGAGAAGTGTTTATTTGCTATTTGGAAAGGTTCTTAGCCATATAGAAGCACCTGAGACACAATCACTGTAGATAGTCAACAGTTTTGCTACAGGGCTTTTCAGATGCACAAAGCAAGGAGGTTTACAAACTGCAAGTCAGAGTGGGATGGTTCAGGGAACCAATTCTGACCTGAAATAAAGATCAAATTGGACAAAAAGCTGTAGGGAACAGGAAACATATTGTGGTTTCCTGTAGATAATTTTGTTGAAGAATGTTCCATTGTGCACATGTTGGAGGAGGGAAGGGGGGGGGGGGCAAATTACAAGTTACTCCTCATCAAATGAGCAGGAGCAGAGTTTAAATTGGTTCTCATATTTCCCAGAGCTCCCTGTGGGTTTCAAAATATTTACTAGAGCTCCAGTCAGCTTTCTCAAACTGAATTTAAGTCATGAGCAGGAAATTCAGTTTCTTAACTTTGGGGATGTCAGGGAATGAACCACAGGCACAGCCATCTTTGTGAAAACCTTATGTCTCCACCCTCCTTCCTGGCTCATTCTAGTCCCCTATTGCTCCTGACTGTGAGGTCTCCACAGTAACTGCACTGTTGGGACTCCACTTCTAGCCATACCGCCTCAAAGATGGGAGTACAAACCAAGAGTACTATAATGCATAAACTTAATGCTGATAGTCACTAAGGGCACGTCTACACAGCAGGGCTAAAGCTGAAATAAGCTATGCAACTTGGGCTACGTCAATTGTGTAGCTTACGTCGAAAGAGCTTATTTCGGCTTTTGGCGCTATCTACACAGCAGGAAGTCCGAGGAAGAGCACTCTTCCTACAACTTCCCTTACTCCTCATAAAATGAGGGTTCTAGGAGTTGGAGTAAGAAGTCCTCCAGCTCAACATTATGTCATAATTCCGGCTTGTAGTGAGACATGGATAATAATGTCAGTTAATCCAAAATAACTGTTGTGTAGATGTGTCCTAAAGCTATTGTATACACACTCCATAGCATGGGCCTTAACTCCACATCTTCCCATACAAGGATCCCTAACATCATGGTTGGGCTTCTGTGAGTCCTATGAACAAGGGTGCCATTTCAGGAGAGTAGTGGTGGCAGTAGCCATGCACAATGGGGCACAGCTAGCTTTTCATCCCATTTGCACACTAAGGAAGTGAGGGGAAAGCGCGTGCAATCTGTGCATGCCTCTCACTCCTGGCTGGTGAGCTCCAGGGAGAAAGGATTGTTTACATCTATTATTTTAGGAACCTAGATAGAGGAACTTGTGTACAAACCTGAACTCCGGATACCAAACAGCACACCCATAACGTTACTTAGGACTGTACTTTGAGAGCTTGGATGCCAACACATTGTGGTTACAATGTGTTTGCCAATGTTCCTTTCTAAAACTCCCATCTCAGATAATCTTCTACCCCTAACTGTTCTACATTTCCTTCATTTTCTCTAGAAATCTTCCACCTCACTCAGGTTTTAGGGAACAAGCTATCCCTGGACCAGAGAGCCCTAGGAGTTTAGTGGAATGGAGCAGAGCTGGAAGCCTGATGGCCTGGGTTGACTCTGGGAAGCAGCACCCCAGTGTCCCTATGGCTGCGGCAGCCCTAGCAATCCCAGCAACCTTGGAGTGGCAGAGTCCTGGTATTGCCATGGCAGCCCCAGAGCGATGGAGCCCTGGTGGGCCCTGCCGTGGCTGGGAAGGGAGTCCTGCCAGATCTGCTGATAGACCCTGGGAGAGCCTGGAATCCATCAGCAGAGGGGTGGAATTGACCTCCTGGGTCTGGCAAACTCCCTTATTCAGATTGGTCAGGTCCCCAGGGTGCTTTTTATATATATATTGTTCCAGGTTCTTTCTTCGCCTAGGCCAGCAGCCAGTTCAATTCTACATGGTTCTATAGCTTCTCCATCATCTGTGCATGGGCTCTTTGTGCACACATTCCTATAATATCCAAGCAGTGAATCTGTCAGTCTGAGAAAGCCAATGATACTGCTAGGTTCTGGACATTTGTGCAAAGGCTTACTCTTGTCACACTAACGCTAGCGGCATAGCTCAAGACTCAACTCTTCTCCATTGAAATGCAGAAAATACCCAATTTACGACATATGCCAGGGATTTTTTTTTTTTGAAAACCGAAAAGATAAAGGTAATAAAGAATTTGTAACAGACAGTGCCTCTTTTATTCATCCCCAGTGCAAGCAATGCTAGTATTCCTTTCGAATTTAATCAATCACCATATTAAAAAATAACAACTGAGCAAGGAAAAAAATCCAGCCGGCCTGTTTCAGACAAAACATGTCAAGAGTAAAGACCGTGAAATAGGCCTTCTGCTTTCTCTGTCCCCCATGGGATGAAACATCCATGTGAAATTTTCAAGGAAGGACAGGAGAAAAATGGGTTGCTCTACACACATCCTTTACACATATTCTCTGTGCATGTGTATTGAGGGCATGAGAAGGTAGAACTAGGAATAACAACTCTTTCCTTACCTGCAGAAAAAGCACCTGCAGGAAATAATGCTGACCCTGTACACATGCAAATCCCCATCTGTGTGGCCAGTTGCCAGTAGTGAGACCTTAGCAAACGGCCTCTAGCTCAGGCTATGCCTACACTACAGGCTTTTTACGCAAGAAGCTTTTTGCGGAAGAGATCTTCTACAAAAATTTCTTGTGCAAGAGAGTGCCACACTGAAAAAGCACTTTGAAAAAGCGATGTGCTTTTGTGAAAAAGAATGTCCAGACTGCATGGATGCTCTCTTGAAAGGAAACTCTGATTGCTATTTACAGAATGGTCACCAGGGCTTTTTTCAATTGCCTCTTTTTCTGCAAAAAAGCTCTGTTCCCCATCCACACACACCTTTGTGTGCAAGAGCTCTTGTGCAAAAAGGAGTTATTCCTCGTAGAAAGAGGAATACCTACACTGGAAAAATCCCTCTGTTCTTTCATTTTACTTGCGCAAAAACACACTTGAGGTATGGACGCTCCGTGAGCTTTTGCACAAAACCAGCTGTTTTTGCGCAAAAACTCTATAGTGTAGACCTAGCCTCAGTGGTAGGGAAACATTTTGGTCCAAGGGCCACAACTTGGCATGGAAAGTGTATGAAGGCTCAGGAATGCTCACAAAATTGGAAGTTGGGGTGTGAGAGGACTCTTGCTGGGGTAATGGGCTCTGAAGTGGGGTTGGGCATGAGGGGTTTGTGGTGCAGCAGGGTGCTCCAGGCAGAAGGGGAATCAGAGCTGGGGCAGAGGGTTGGGGCATAGGAGAGGACCAGGGGCCCAAATTGTGAGCAGTGCTTACTTCCAGCAGCTTCTGGAAGCAGTGGTATGTCCTCCCTCTGGTGGTACCTGGCAAATGGAAGCTGCAGAGCTGGCACTTGAGGAGGGGACCACAGGGGAGCCCTCTGGCTGCCCCTGCTCATAGGAGTCAGAGGCGGAATGAGCTGCCACTTCCAGGAGTGAAGCGGGGCGGGACTGGCTCCTGATCCTACTCCTCCTCAGGAGTTCGAGGGCTGGCTTAAAAGGTCTGATGGGCCAGATGCAGCCCGCAGGTCATAGTTTGCCCACCCCTGCTCTAGCTGAGCAGAAGATGGAGGGGATAATGTGAATGTGAAGCTTTGTGAATGTCCAAGCCCTCAGAATTGCCCCTCATGATTTTGCTTGAAGGTCTGGGGACATCTGCAGGCTGAAAGGGAAACAATCCCTGCACACTCTACAGAGCAAATGGGTAAATCCCACTTAGCCAAAAATACTTTTCCAAGTACTCTGTGGGCCGGAACTTGCTCAGTTTCATGGCTTTTCTGGATTTCCCCCCTTCACACACAGTGTGATCTGAGCCTGAAAATAATTGCAGAATTTGGCCAAAGAAATGAAACCAGCAGTTTCATTTCCCTGCTGCATCACTTTGCAATAGAAGAATAGTACACCTGGCAGTTGGGGAACTAATGTTGACACATGCAGCATAAACTGGGCACAGCCTATGTATAGTGATTAGAAGTGGGATAGCTCATATAATATTGCTTTACTAGTTTCTCAATATCTATACCAAAATAAGGCATATGGCTGTCATAATAATTCCACATTTGCTCTGATCAAAATGAAAGCCAACACTGTACTCTTTCCTGTGAAAAAGTACAGGTCAAACCTCTCTAGTCCTGCACCCTCAGAACCTGACCAGTGCTGAACCATAGAATTTGCCAAAACACAGGAGATCAGTAGCATTTAGCAGCATAACCAACACTTCCACTGCTTACTGGACTCGGAGACATTTAGTGGTAAATTAAAGCTAAACAGCATAGAACACTGAAAGCCAGGACTGGTGGCTGTAAACAAACATCGTGGCCAGTCGCCCAATTTAACTTGCCACGTGTAGACGCGGTAGTCCGATCAGAAACCCTTCATGCAATGAGGAGTAACAGTCAATTCGAGGGAAGGGTTTTACATTGGACTACCGCATCTACACGCGGCAAGTTAAATCAGGCGACCAGTATTTTAAAATGGCAACCGGCCGCGATTATGCTAATCAAGCATGGGATAGTTAAATTCCATGCTTGATTTGCAACTTTGGTGAGCTTCATTTGCCTCCCTAGTTCGAACTAGGGGGCAAGTATAGACATACCCTTACTGCTTACTATGCTCTTAGAAGACATTTAAGGGTAAATTAGAGCTAAATAACAGCACTGAACACTGAAAACCAGGATTGGTGGCTGTAAATAAGCTTTATGGGATCATGGAAAACTTGGCCACACCCATGGTAAGTGGACATCCAGCTAACTAAAATCATGTCGGACCACAGATGTTGCCAGACCAGAGAGGTTCAACCTGTATAGGAGAAATCTCTTTTGGCATCTCTTCCTGCTATGAGGAATTTTATCTGGCATTTTGCAGGAGCTTTTCATGGCTTGCTTAGAGTGGCTAATACATAAAATAAACCATCAGCAAGCCACCCTAAGTGTGATTTAACCCAACAGGGTTTCTGTTGCTGTTTAAAGGGAAGGGCTAGTGGCAAGGGGTCCTCGTGGAAAAGAGATCTCCTACTCTCAGGAACCTTCCATGGACACCACTCCATGTCTCTTCCTGTGTTCTGTTGACCAGAGTTCCAGCAGTCACAGAGCTATCTTAAACATAATGGAGCTGCCACTGGGAGAGAGACAGCCAGGATCCAGAATCCCTAACAGACAGGCATAGAAATTATCTCCATACATAGTTTATCTTCTGAAAGGCCCTGTGAGAATTGCTTTCTCCTCTTTCCTAACACAGAATGGGTTCTTTGCTCTGATGGGCCTTTTCTCTCTTTCTGACAGCTCCTCTATGCCCCAGTTTCTGAAGACAATTCCTCAGCCAGCAGCACTGGCTGCTGTAATGTAAAGAATGGCTCTTTTGGAGGAAGTGGAGGTCCTATCTCGCAGCCACCGATACCGAGTGACAACCACAAAATTGGCATGTTGCATCCCCTGTGCCACATTATGATACCACCTCCACTTTCACCATTTGGATAAGCATTTTCCAATCACTTGTGTGCTCTCAATTCTGGTGTTCTGAAACAAATACACTGAAAAATATCTGTAACATATGTTCCTGCCTGTGGAGATGATATCCAGGCCTATTATATTTTATAATTGGATTAAATGAGCTATCTGAAAAGTACTACACACTATTAAAATGAAGATGATTTAATTTCTCATCTACCACCCAGAAGTTTTGTACTATAAAAAATGATTTGGACGTGCGAAATCTGCTTGCTAAAACTTCACTTCCTCTTTGCTACACCATGTAGGACTGTTCTAGAGCCCTTTTCTTACAGAATATCTTCCTGCCACTGGTTTAGAAAAACTGATGCATAATAGGGATGTAAATAGTTAATTGGTAAACCAGTTAACTGTCAAGCCTCATCGTTAACCCTAATGGGTAAACCTCACCCATTATCTGGTAGGGGCTGGAGCAGCTCCCTGCCTGCCACGGGCAAAGGGCTGCTCCAGCTCCACAGGGCCCACTGCAGGCAGGGGCTGCTCCTGCCAGCCGGCTGGAACAGCATGTGTCCATGGAGGGCCCAGCCCAGCCCCCACAGTCACAGGCAAAAGTAGCCCTCGTCTGCAGCTCGGGTAGGGGGCACTACAGCACAGTTGAGCTAGAGCAGTTCCCCCCTGATTGTCTTCCCTTTAAATGGTTAACTGGCTAAATATAATGTTTAACTGGGTAATCAATTAAACAGGATTTTACATCCCCAATGTATAATCAGAGCGCAGAGAAGCTGAACATTTGCTAAGTAGCAGCTATGTAGGTGCCTTCTAGTTACACTGTACAATGCACTCTGAGGGTATGTCTACACTTGCCCCCTAGTTCTAACTAGAGAGGCAAAGGAAGCATACCGAAGTTGCTAATGAAGCGCGGGATTTAAATATCCCGTGCTTGATTAACATATTCACGGCCGGTCGCCATTTTAAAAAGCTAGTAGCCCAAATTAATTCGCCACGTGTAGACGCGATAGTCCAATCCAAAACCCTTCCCTCGAATTAACTGTTACTCCTCATTGCAGGGGAAGGTTTTTGGATCGGACTACCACGTCAACACGCGGTGAGTTAATTCGGGCTACTGGCTTTTTAAAATGATGACCACCGCGAATATGCTAATCAAGCACGGGATATTTCAATTCTGCACTTCATAGCAACTTCGGTATGCTTCATTTGCCTCCCTAGTTTGAACTAGGGGGCAAGTGTAGACATACCCTGACTCTTTTCTAAGTTTCAGGGGGTAGCTGAGTTAGTCTGTACAGGACAAACTTAAACAACAGCACTTTATAGACTGACAAAACATATAGATGGTATCATGAGCTTCCGTGGGCACAGCCCACTTCTTCAGATGACTGGAGTTTTGAGTTTAGGATGTGCAGACCCAAAATAAATAGGGGAGAAAAGAGAAGGGGGAAGGAAAAAAAGAAGGCGGGGGGAGGGAAACAAGGAGCAGAGGGTATGGAAATATCAAAGGGAAAAACAAGTAGGCAGAACTGGCAATCTATAAACACCTGAAAATTGGATAATTGAAAAGAAACAGATCTAAGGATAGTAATAGATAGGAAAGGTGCCTGTGGCTATTTTTCTGAAACTATACGGTATGGCCTAAAGTCTCAACTAGCCAATAATTTTAGGAGCTTCGATTTCTGAGTGTCTAATTTGAGATAGTATGGCCCTTTTTCCAGAACTGCTGAGCATCCAAAACTCCAACCAAAGTGAAGAAGAGATGTGAGTACCACGGAGGCCATAGCTGTCTCAATCTCATATCTTGAAGGCTACATCTACACTGTTTTTTGTGGAAGAGGAAATGCAAATGAAGCACTCATTTGCAAATCTCACACTTTCATTTGCATATTCTCTTCCAATCCTTTTTGCAGAAGAGGTTTTTGCGAAAAACCGCAGTGTAGATGGGGCTATTTTCCAGAAAAAAAATCCCTTTTGTGCAAGATCCCTTATTCCTCAAAAAATGAGGTTTACAGGATCTTGCGCAAAAGGGTTTTTTTTTTTGTGAAAAATGGCCCCGTCTACATTGCCTTTTTTTCCCCAAAAAAACCTCTTCTGCAAAAAGTACGAGATTTGAAACGAGCACTTCATTTGCATTTCCTCTTCTCCAAAAAACAAACAGTGTAGATGTTGAAAGGGACTATTCAGCCTGACTGATAACAATTATGTAAGTCTATGTACAGAAATTTATCTAAGTACAGAAATAATCGCTGTATGGTGGGGTTTTTGACTTAAAAAGAAACTACAAAAATAGCAAGTATTCAGCCTGGGATGAGGGAAGAAGTTACACTCAGAACATGAATCTGAGATCTACCATTACAAATGTGAAGTCTTTAAGTTTTGGAATAAATCCCATAGCTTTAATGTTCATGGAGAATGAAAAAAAATCACTTTATATGGCCACCCGCTGAAATCAATACACTTTCTGCAGAAACTACATAGATATAAAATACAAGTCATTGCACTAAATACCCTCATAAAACAAAAACACAGTCCATTGTATATGGCAGTGGGCATAAAATTATTTTATGTGATTGGTTGAACATCACAGTTAGCAGCCTAGCTGGCTACCGCATAAATTCAAACCATTTTCAAAGTGGTAATCTCTCATGGTAATATCCTAATCTGAAGCTAAACTATATGCAATCAATAACAGCTTTTCCAGGAGGAATGTAATCAATACAAACTTTTTTTTTGTTACAAACAAATGAACTATTCGCATTTTCTTGTTGGTGTGTATCGGTTCCAACTTCCTGTTGGTTTATTCCTAATAACAATGATGATATTGAATTTTTGATATCTCATTTCCTCTTTTTTCAAGAATGTTGTCAGAAGGGTATCTTTGTGGAATCCCCTACCTTTGTGAGGACTTCTTGAGTTCCAAGCTCTACATCAAACAAGCAGCAGAGGAGAAGATGCATGAGATGAGCTATATGTGCAACTTTACCTGTGCCACCACGGATGAAACACAAGGCAGAGGTCTCTTTCAGAAGTGCAGATCTGTTGGCAAGTTTTTCTCTTCAGTTTGTTCTAAAGGAAGCAAACACAATGGAAGACAGAAAGAGACTTTACCACAGGTTATCCAAAACCCTGAGTTTGAAAGGCAAACATCTCCAGCTGACGATATGTCTGAAGGATCCACAAGCAGAGATACCTACCTGGTTCCTTCTTCCTGTAAAAGCATTTGCAAGAATTACAGTGATTTGCACATTGCTGGTGGTCATGTGATGCCCATTAGCTCAGTAGCTACAGATTTTACCTGTGACAGTGGGATAGGCCCATTCTTGGAGTCATCAGAGATTCCTCCACCTATGGAATCCATGATTATGCCCCCCAGTAATGTCATTCACAAGCCCGTCCAAGGGTACTCGTCATGCTGGCGAGTGACCAGCATCATGCAACACCAGCAGCCACTCTCCAATTCAATGCTGAATGACTATCTAGAGCAGAAAGTGATGGAGCTGTACAAACAGTATATCATGGACAGCATGGTCAACAGCGCATCACCCACACAAATCATGGCCTCTGAGCTTATCATGACCAACGTAGACCAAATCAGCATGCAGATATCACGAGAGAAAAATATGGAAACCACCAAGGCCAAAGACATGGTCATTAACTGCCTGTTGAGACTGGCCAGTGGAAAAGTGTCCACTGAAATAAGCACCCCTAGTCTGCATATATCTCAATAAAGCAGGATCAGTATGTTGACGGGTGGCATTAAGGTGGTCTGCAGCTAGAAAGCTTACAGGTTTTGTAAATGCAAATGTTAAGTTCTCAGTTATAATACTTTTCTGGTATTGTTGAATTAAACTCTGTTATAACTAATCTTGTTGTTATTGACCAATTTCTGTTGGCCAAAGAGACAAGATTTTTATTTGGTCCAGACCTGAAGAAGAGCTCTGTGTAGCTTGAAAGCTTGACTCTTTCACCTGCCCAAGTTAGTCCCATAAAACAGTGGTTCCCAACCTGTGCTCTGCAGACCCCTGGTGATCCACAGTAGTACTGCAGGGGATCCATGGACAGTTCAAAAAATAAGGATCAGGTCCACTTATGTCTCTTTTTCCCCCAGGGAGGGGATGCCGTGAAATGTTAATAGATTGAAAAGGGATCCAAATGCTCAAAGAGGTTGGGAACCACTGCCACAAAAGATATTACCTCACCCACCTTGTCTCACTAGCATCCTGGGACCCTCAAGTCTACAACCACACTGCAAACATTGTTATTTATTATTTGTACTGTCCTTGCACCTTAGAGCCCCAGTCCTCCTGCTTTTTCATCATTTGTGCAAGCGTGAACCTCAGCCTTCATCCCAAACACAGCTTTGTCCAGATCTTCCAACTATGACTAATCTCCACTGTCTGCCCAGCTCCATCCATTCCCTTACTTTCTTTGTTTCTTCACCTTCCCTGCCTCTCAGATCCAATCCAAGTTCCATTCTGATCCAAGTAAGCTGCCCAAGTGTGGGTCTGAATTTGTTTTCCTCTGAACTGAACCATTACAAAGAACGGAGAAAAATGATGACCAGCAATCACTTGCAGATATTGTTTTTGTTGTTGCAAAATGTAGCTTGAGGACTCAGACTCAGAGCTTTAGAAAATAACACTCTACCATATGAGTTAAAAGAGAATCTTCATTATCTGTTAGATGCAATATTCTTTTTTTTCTTTAGGCCATTTATGGATATTTTCTTATGAAACAAGTAGGTATAAGGTATTGAGG